GTTTTGCTTATGTTTTTCCTTATGTTAATACTAGGATTATTAATCCATAAGTTCAAGCTTCTGATCCTATTCCTGTGTATAATGATATTTTACCTGATGTGGATAATATATAATGCCCTAAAATCTAATTTGAAAGAATTATTATTTTACCTTTTAATATACAACAATAAGAACTACCTAATTTTATTTATTAATATTAAAATCATATATCAATGAATACAAATTATATTAATCAAAACATCCATAAAAATCTATATTTGTTGACAAAAAAATTTATATATAATACTCAAGAATCATATAATCACATCATATCTATCTAAATCCTATGTTATACAAAAGAATAACTAAAATAAAAATAATAAGGAACTAATTAGGAAAACCTAGTCAATCTCTACCTTATGTTCCCATTCCCTGATCTAAAATTAGTTAAACCATATATATTGAGCTCAATAGCCTAGCATGTCACTAAATCCTATATCTGAATTAAAAGCACTGCAAAAAAATTTGCCGAACTGGCCCTTCCTCCTTATTTGTTCGTGTATTGTTTTTCTTTTTCCTCTAGACGCTGCTCCGCTCGCGCTCGCCTTCGACTGCGACCACAAGACTCCGGCCGCTGACACCATAACTTCGGTCACCGATCATGCCCTCACTTCGTCCGCCAATCACGCCCTCACTCCGGCCACCAATCAGGCTCGCACTCTACCATCCGATGCCCTTGCTCTGCCCGTCGACGCCCTCGATCACTTAAGCTTGCGAATGCCCCAAAGGTTGTTGCATTTACTTTTTTGTTTATTTAGTCATGGATGGTTATTTAGAGAGATTAATGAGGACCTACATATAATATTTATTGATTTAGAGATATCATACGTTAAAGTTCCAAGAGAAGTGATATGGTGAGTTCTAGAAAAAGAAAAATGTTAGTAATGCTTATATTCAAGATATTACTTATGTTAAAACACTAGATAGTTTGGTCAATTATTTTCATATTTCATTTTTATTACATCAAGGATCAACCTTAAGCCCATATCTTTTTAACTTTAATCATAGAGAGAATAATGAGGACTTACATATGATATTTATTGATATAGAGAAAACATATGATAAAGTTTCAATAGAAGTGCTATGGAGAGTTCTAGAAAAGAAAGGGGTTAATAATGCTCATATTCAAGTCATTAAGGATATGTATGCAAAAGTTGTTACTTGTGTTCAAACAAAAGGTGGGTTGACCAAGTATTTTTCTATTTCAGATGGATTACATTAAGGATCACCCTTAAACCCTTATCTTGTTACTTCAATCGTGGATGTTCTTACTAGACATTTGCTAGAGGTTGTACCTTGGTGTACGCTTTCTGCTGATGATATTCTTCTTGTTGATAAGACTACAGAGGGAGTTGAAGGTAAACTTGAATTGTAGAGGTCAACCTTAGAGTCTAAAAATTTTTGTGAGTGTAATCTTAACAATAAGCCCGATCCATTAGGCAGATTGTGAGTTTGGGCAATTAAGTCATTAATAAGAATATACATTTTAGATAATTTGGGTATGTTGTTTAGAGTGATGGTGGTGAAATATGTGGATATTATTAGAAGAATTCTAGTTGGATGGTTGAACTGGAGGAATGCATCGGGCTTATTGTGTGATAGAAAAGTCCTTAAACTTAAGGTAAAATTCTATAAGATGGCGGTGAGACCTGAAATGCTTTATGGTGCAAAATATTGGTCATTAAACGAGAAGCATAATATTAAGTTAAAATAAACACATAAAACGGTTGCCTTATGATAACCCAGTTAGGAGAGTAAATGATAATTCTTTCTTAGAGTTAAGCATAATATTTTGGATTGTGCAAATATGTTTTGTTGATTGTGTTATGCTATTGCATATGAAATGTTATTTTGATTTTGGACTCCATTTATGTGGGTTGATTATAATGGCATATTACCCTTAACATTTATGTGCTATATATGTTTTAAATTCTATGCAGGTATTATGAAAATTGGTGTAAATAGAGGAGGGATGTTAATTTTTTTTTTTTGAAAATGCTATAGGTTTTCGGCAGCTAACCGGTTGTTTGGTCGTTGAAAATGTCGATACCAGACGATTTATTTAGCCACCAATATTTTAATATAGTGGCCGGTAACAATAGGAGGTCTACCAATGGTTAATCGGCCGGTTGGCTGCCAGCACTACCAGCGGTAGTGTGCTCTAATCGCCGAAAATTAATTACCGGCATTTGAGGTGGTCGGTATGCTGCCGGTAATTACCCGGCGGTCGCCGGTGCTATGACCGCCATAATTTACTGGGTGCGCTGGCCACCGGAAAGTCACTGTAATTCTTGGCCACCCGTAAATGATCGCCGTAATTTGTTTCTTACACAGTTTATATCGGTGGCTAAAAAACCACCGGAAAACTTACGATCTTTTTCATAATCGTCGTAAAATTTATATTAACAGTCGGAATAAGTCACCGGTAATTGCAAATTTTACTATAGTGAAAGCACATCGACCCACCATCATATACAGTCAATTAGTCGCAACTAACATCATTGAATAGTAAGCCTTTACTTATTTTTTTTTCATACAAATACTATTATCCACACTCATTTTTAATGCATTGTAGGAAATAAAGTATAATTAGGTTCTATTCAAAAAGTGCCAAAAATATCTTAGCAATAGGAAAAAAAAATTTTGAGCAAAAAATTCAAATTTTTATAATTTAATCAAATTATTAGAGATTGTATAAAATAATATTTTGAACCTTTAATTGAATTAAAATACTATTTTTATACGTCAAAATAATTTTTTGAATAGATAAAAAATGTTACATCTTCAAAATCACCGTGGAAAATTTTTCCAAAATATACTCAAAATATTCATAATCTCGATCTCTATAATATATAAAAAGTTACATTGTGAAAGTTTTATCAATACAAAATTATCATCATTTTTCCGTAACAAAATTATAAATTTGATTGAAAAAAAATATTAAAATAAAAAATATGATAAAGATTACTTACAATGAGACGATCAAATTTTCAAACAGGCTGGACTTGCAAAAAACACTCCGTGATCTTCAAATCTTAATCTTCCTTTTCTCTCTCCCTCTCTTTTCTCTCTTTTTTCTTAAACCATTCTTTATAAGCCGAAGTGATTAAGGGAAACAGACTTAAAAAGTGTTTAATAAAGCTTTAAGATATTTTGTAATAAATAATAATATAATTAAATAATTTCTTCAAATTTTAATATAAAATTCATATAATTTTTTTTTGGTTTTAAAAAATTATAAAAAAATCATAAAATAGAACATTTTATTTAAAAAATTATGATGAAAATGATTTGCAAATCGGGCACCTAACCATCCCAGAATCTCTACTTGCACCTACAGATGTTAAATTCTTAAGAATTTTCACCAGTGCCTAAAAGTTATGAAAAATTGTATAATTAAAATACTATGATATCAATGTTATGACAAAGACAATTTGTGATTTGGACTTATATTAAATAAAAAAAAACTATTTGACTGGATTAAAATACGGTCTATTACAGAGACAATTATGCTGTGAGGAGCCAATGACTGGAATTAATGACAATGAGGTACTACAATAGATTTTGTGAAGAATAATTCATCCTATATTATAATGAAATGGTGTATCAAATATATTCCTATGACTTCAATATTTCATTATACACCATGATGAATAGTCTATCATAGTAAATAATCCCTTCTTTGTAGAAGAAATATTTGTAGTTTGTTACAAAAAAATGTCATCATATGATATATTCTAATGGTAAATACATAACAGTGTACGAAGGTTTTTTTTTTTCCCATCAATATTCTTATTTTGATGGATAGACCCATTGCATTTGCTTACATTGATAATATCATCAGACTAATCTTTAAATTGATATTTAATCCTTCTAGATTAGCTTTGTAATAACAAAGTTTTCAACAATATTTATTCCTTAATAAATTTCATAAAAAACCTTATTATCGACAGATTAAGGGGCTTTGCAATAGATTTGTACGTCAAAGATGGGTTGTTCCTTTGTAATGTCAAGTGAACAAAATGGAAAAGCTAATAACACCCCTTTGTCATTTAGAAGGAAAATACCAAATGTTCTACTAATTCGAATTTAGTCATAAATCTTCTAAAGTGAAAATCAACATCATTGACTATAATCTATCACACAAGAAAAAAAGGTAAAAATAAAAATATCTAATTTTATGATTAGTTCTTGATATCAATAAGATGCCTTGACATATTTTATATGAGGAATAATGTGATATTTTGATGGAAGGACGTCATGAACCAATTTTTTTTCTTTATTAACTATTATCTATCGATCACATAATAAATAATTAGAAATAAAATTTTATGAAAAATTCTGATTACTTAACAAGGTATCAAGCCTTAGATTGAGATGTCAAAATGATATATACAAAAAAAATATGTTCGAAAGGCCGATCATACACAGAGATCAAATTGAGCCGAACAAATTAGTTCGAAGCATCACCTAGAAGGTTTTGCTAATAGGTAAAATTCACTATTTATATTAAATATTGAAATCTTATTTTAACTTTTAATGTGGTCTATTTTTGCTTTTGTGTACATCTAAAATAATAAAAATAATAATAAATTACCTTTCTTTCAACAAGATACATATGCACACACATAAATGCATGTTATATATAAGAATGATTATCAATTATTAGCAACATGTCAAGGTCATTAGTTTGAATTCTGAGAAGAGCTTCAAGTGTGTTGTTAAAGTCATTGAAATCAACTACTGACACATCATCAACTGTGTGATTTCATTAATTACCATAGAAAAGGAGATTTCTTGTAATCTTGGGTCTTCTCAACTTCTTGCAAAGCAAGTATATTTAGCCCTCCAGCATCTTCGCAAGGATTGTGACAGGGAAGCACGCCTTCTCCACGGATATGAAGGGATTAAATCCAGTTTTACAAACAGTACGCTTGCCCCTTTCATGACCTGGCTATAGTTTAACAATGATAGCCTCCCTTCTTTCAATATAAATACATGTATTAATGCCTCTACTCAAAGAAGTTAAAGCTTCAATTTCTGTATAAATTTTTTCCACAACCAACCAAAGGGCCACAGGAATGCTCTTTGCTACCTAAAGCTGACGAAATCCATTCATCTCTTCTTCCTCCTTTTTAGTCTCCTTATATTTTGTTCGAGAAGATATGGGTCTAAGAGAGATAGAGTCCTCTCTTCCTCCAGGTTTCAGATTTCATCCAAGTGATGAGGAACTGGTCTGCCACTATCTTTACAAGAAGGTAAACAATCACAAAATCATTGAAGGTAAGATGGTGGAGGTCGACCTGCACACCAGGGAGCCATGGGAGCTTCCAGGTTCCTATCTTTACTCTTTATTTATTTATTTCTTTTACCTTTGATTTCATCCTATATATCCTACTTTTTCTTTGCCTTTTTTTTTTTGTTTGGCTTCAGCTCCCTTATTCTGATGAGATGTTTGATGTGATTTAAATTTTAGGATATATCCTTTTATCTTTTTAAAACATCTATTAGTTATGGTTGCTGCAACTTCACCAACCCCTAAGCTTTATTTATTTATTTTATTCCCGCTTCTTTATTACTGTTATGCCTTATTATTACAATAAAACCCTGAAAGATCAGTTGTATGGTAGTTGCCTAGGATTGATCTTCAGTAATTATTTATAACACCCTTTTAAATATTAGATTATTTATGATTGCCTCAGCAACCCTAGATATGTCCTTGTCTCTTTGGATAGATTGATACGCCATTGTCTATTTATTATATAAAAACAAATTAATAAATTATCATATTATCTTAAATTTCTTAAGATGCTTAACAATATTTTTTGTCTCTATCTGATCATGAACAATTCAATTTTGTCTAGTAAGAAGGTTTGCCACATGTAGAATAGGATCAAAGGTTTGAAATTTATGCATGGAATAATGCATTAGACGACCAACTTTAGCACTAAATACAGTGTATTTTTCTTTATTTTTTCTTGTGGAATGAGTACAGAGATGGCCAAGCTCAGTGAGAATGAATGGTACTTCTTCAGCTTTCGCGACCGTAAGTACGCTACAGGTTTACGCACAAATAGAGCCACAAAAACTGGTTACTGGAAGGCTACTGGAAAAGATCGCATAATATACCATTCTAAGACGCATAGAGTTGTTGGGATGAGGAAGACACTGGTCTTCTATCAAGGAAGAGCTCCTAATGGAATGAAGACAAATTGGGTGATGCATGAGTTTCGGCTGGAGAATCTTCATGCTCCTCCCAAGGTACTGTATTGCTATCTATATATATAAATAAAATACTAATGATAATTGGTTTAGCTAGCTAGCTAGCTAGAGAGGAATAACAATATTTATTACAATAGGTAAGTATAAATAAAGTTTTTTTTTTTGGGAAATTAAGTATAAATAAAGTTATATGAAGACCATTAGAGCATCTCTAACCGAACGTCAAACATGCGTTTGGCATCGTTCGATCCCTCAAGCGGAACGTCAAATCTTCCGCTATTTGCATGCGGGTGAACAGTGAGCCGCTAATATTGGCGTTGCACTATTCACCAACACGATTTTCTATCTCAACCAGATTTACTGAAGAAACATGCCAAAGAGGAGAAAGACAATTACCATCGCAGAAGCCCACAAAATGGAGTTCGATTAGAGATGAATCACGGCATTTTTGAATTTCATTGTATTTTGGAGTGAACAATAAGATTTTTGGTTGGAGACGCTCTTAATGGTGTGTGCATGCAGAAAATATTTCATTGAGCTTGTTTGATAATTTTAATCAGTTTGAGAGTGTTATAGTGCTGCACTTAATGATTGATTTATGTCTAGTGTTAGGGCATAAAGGTTTTTTCTTAATAATTTCTTAAGAAAATATATTTTATTTTCATTTCTTTAATTAGTTTTATGTTTATTTTTTAAAAATATTGATTGATCTGTGGCCAGAAATGCACATGACAGAAGATAATTATTTAGTCATATTTATATGAAATAGTTTGGGTTCTAAAATCTTCAATTAGATAAGCAACATCTAGGCTTCTAAAAAAATTGCTACTATAAAGCGAAATTTATTGTAAAAGATGTTGCTTCTAGCTAGTGTTAATTTTAAAAAGGAAAGTAAATCGTTCTTTTCAAGTAATATGCAACTACAATCCATAATACTAGGAAGTTTAAGTTGATTAATTTGGGTTTTTCTCTATTGCTTTTGATGACAGGAGGATTGGGTGCTATGTAGGGTTTTTCATAAGAGGAAAGGGGAGCCTATAAGAATTGGGAATGGGAGTATTGCTGAACAAGAAAACATTTTATCTTCTGGCTCACAGTTGGAGATATCTACAGATGATCAGATGGAGCAGCTGGCCAATGCACCAGATGGAATCCATGGAGATATGGGGTCTTCAATCCCTCTTGTCCCATATCAAGAAGGAAATAGCTCAAACACCTACCTTAATTTTGCAGTTTTGCAGTATAACTTCTTTGATTTCCCACAGGAGATGATGATGGGAAATTCAGATGTGATTGGAATGGAATCAAGGCATGCTAGTGGGGATGAGTTTGGCTTTCTTTTGGATATGGGGTTGGATGACTTTGTGCATGAGAGTGGGGAAGGAGGAGGAGCAAAGCTGATGAGTAATGTGGAAGCTGGGTTGAGATGCCATGATGGGAAAGATGAGGTGGTTTCATTCTAATTAGCTTGGGAATTAGTCAAGAAAAAAGCTAAAGATTGTATTGTATACTTACTCTTAAGATTTAGATGTAGATAGATTTGGATTGGAGGAACTGGTTATATTAATTTAAGATGATTGTTGTTTATGGTAGGAGTGTAAAAAGTTTATGGTCTTATTTGTGCATTTCATTGATAAAATCATGATGCCATTCTACAGAAATAATGTGATAAAAAGCGTTATATTTGGAAATGATTTAATTTAAAGGGTTGACATTAAGTAATCTCCAAGATAAGTTTAAAGAAGGAAAAAAGTGGTCTGGTGAATGTAATATTTATGATTTTTTAGTAATGAAAAATTAAGCTAACGTCACGCTTTCTAGAATAATAATTAAATACTCTATAATACTAGCGTTTATAAATATGGCTCAAAATACTTAGCCACCAAGTTATGGAAAACTTTATAAATACACGTTATAGCCAAATTTCTTACAGAGATATGAAATAACAGCAGATATGTAGTTGAGATTGCTAATTTTAGCCATAATTTAATTAAAGGATATGGCTAATTAAATGCTAATAGTCTTGAAGGAAATGGATTTGCTAAAAATTCTGAGCATCATTTGAAAAAAAATAGCTGTGGCATAATTTCTTATGCTGATAGACATCATTACCATAGGAGGAGAATTACCATTCTTCTCCCAATTGGATTATAATGTCTTTAATCTGAAATAAGAGATCAAAACTATGAATTATTTTTAAAATTAATAGCATGCATGCTTTTAAGATTTTTTTTTTATTTTTTTTATTTTTTTTATTTTATGTTCATTTGATCATGAATTGAATGTATTAAAGTTTTTATAATGGGTAATTTTGATTGGATAGTTGTGATTTTAATGTATAGAAACTTTTAAATGTTTTGAATTCAAAGATACCAATCATTATATATTTTAATGTGCAAGCTGAAAATAAAGAGACATTTAGGATAGAGATATATGGGAATTGATATTGAGATGCATTCATTTGAATAAAAAAGTCTATATCAAGGTATTCATATACAATTAGAATACGAAGACATGCTTTTCTTCAAAATAAGAATACATCTTGTATCATGATATTCATATACTAAGGTGAGCTCATCAAAAGCCAAGCTATCTTTGACAACTAGAAAGCTTAGAAACTCTCGTTTTCGCCCTAGCCGCCTCCAGGCGATTTTAGGGTTACGCAAGAATCTCCTCTTTTCCGATTGCTTTTCCTCGCTGGTTCCGATTATTCCTCTGGTGCTCTTCCTTTTTGGGCAGCTGGTGGCACACCTGATCTTTTGCCCCTTCTTGGGGTCCTTGTCTGGTGGATATGGCTTCTTCCAACCCGTGGGGGAAGGTATCTAGCCTGATCCATGGTAAAAGTAAGGGTTTCTTCAACTTGGAAGGTGAAGTTCCATCCAAAGCCCCGTCTAGGTCTTTCAAAGATGTGTTGTCGGGTGATCCAATGCAAGGTGATAATGTTCCTAAATTTACCCAGTCGGTAATTAATGGTGCTCCTGCTGTTCTTATTTCTGATGAGGACATTCTTAAACTGGCATCTCCTTTTAAATTTACTTTAGTTGGAAAATTTAATCTTCGTAGACCAAATCTGGATACCATTCGGATGTTTTTCGCTAATCTTAAGCTTTCTGGTTTTTATTCCATCGGATTACTGGATTCTCGCCAGGTAGCGATTCAACTTTTTAACGATATGGATTATAGTCGTATTTTTGCTAGGCGTTCCTATTTCATTAGTAACAGTCAAATGAAAGTTTTAAAATGGACTCCTTTTTTTGATATTCAAGAGGAATCCCCTATCGTGCCGATCTGGATTTCTTTTCCGAATTTGCGGTTACATTTTTTCAATCCTCAAGTCCTGCATGCTCTCGGTTCTGTTTTTGGAAGGCCCCTGCAAACCGATCAAGCGACTGCTTCCAGGACTAGGCCTTCTGTGGCTCGAGTCCTTGTGGAAGTTGATATTTCTAAGAAACATGCGAAAGAAATTTGGGTTGGTTCCATGGATTTTGGTTATATGCAAAAGGTTGAGTTCGAAAAAGTGGCAGATTTTTGTTCTCACAGTAAGATGCATGGTCATGGGGCTGTGGATTGCTTTAAATTGCATCCTGACTTGAAAAAAAATACTACATCTAATGTTGAAAAAGTTGATTTATCTGTGAAGGAACATGAACCTGTGGTTTCGGAGGCCACACCGGTAGGGGATAAAGATATTGCTCTGGAATCGGTTCAAGTTAATTCGTTAGCTGTTAATAATTTAGATATACCGGAGAAATTAAATATTGCAAAAACTTTTGTGGAAGGTAATTTAGCCAGAAAGGAAGAGGTTCCTATTCCTAGTTTATATGTTTCAATTGACTCTATGCTGCAGGATAAAGTTCGAAATCAAGAACAAACTGTTATGGATACTTTGATTAAGAATAATGTTGCTAATGTTACCAATAATGTTAACTCTGAGATTAGTGATAGTGAAGAAGGAGAATTTGTTCCTTCTACGATTGTGGATAATAATAATGTTC